GTCCTCCATTTAGTACAGATTTACACATGCTAGCCCAATCTGCTGGTGTCATGTCCAAGTTAGTAATGGACTCAACCATGCTTACCGTGAAGGGAGCTTGGGGACCATAGGTTGTTACAGCCTCCTTTAACTGCTTCACTGTTTTAAAATCTAAAGCACGGTGAATTCGCTGCCCTCCTGCCTGTTCAAGTACAGGGCATGCTAATCTTTGAGGTCCTGTCTCAGGATCCCATTTATCAACTACGGGGTTTGAGGGCCACTCAGCTGTCTCCATCGGTGGGGCTGTTGGTTGAATTACGCCCTCTTGTGATAAAACGGAGTTAGTAACAGCCTCCTGTTGTGGCCTTTTTCCTAACAACCCCTTTTCCTTTAAATTTTCTTCCTCTGTCTGACTAGCTCAAGAGACCTTCTCTTTTGCTTAATCTAAAATGTCTTTCTCCATGGTCTGAACCTCTAACAATTTACTTAACATCTTTTCGGTTTGTTTTTTACTAATTTCTAATCTACTATAAAGATAACGCAACCCAATAAGATAACACAAAACAAAACCGAAACTGAATGAAACAAAAACCGAATAAAAAATCGTTGTATCAATTTTCTCTTCCTCAGGGCCGACAAACTTCAAACCTTTAGTCAACCATTTTTTCCAGTTTGCCTGAGAAATTTCTAGGGATAGGCAGCTTGAAACAAAAACAAGATAAATCAAAACAAGAACGCACTGTTTTTTTTTGAAATGGTCACCCATTCTTTTGCTCTTCCTCAGGGACGAGCAATTTCACTTACCTCCAAGCTTCAGAAGTTCCCCGCATGGGACGCCAAATGCCGCAGTCTGGCTGGGCACAAATGCCGCAGTCTGGCTGGGCACACAATCACGAGCCACCACACAGCTTGTAGATTCAAACAGAACTCTTTATTCCCGAACTCACACCAGCCGTCTACAAACACGTTCTGGGGAAATCCACGTTCTCTGCCCAAATCCACCTCCACTGGGCTTCTATCTCCCAAAAATTACTGTCTGAATCCTGTGAGAACTCAAGGGGAACTCAGGCAGCAGGATACGCCCTATTCCCAGGAGGAATAATCTTAAACCTGGAATGTCCTAAACTGGAACGCCCTAAACCCAATTATCCTAAACCGGGAACACCCTAATCCGCCCTGGTCCTTGAGCAAGGTCACCTACATTCAATGTCACTGCAACATGGGGTACGCTGGCAAGGAAATTGTCATACCTACTTGGCTAATGGCTCCCAGCACTGAGCCCCTTTTCTATCCCAATTCTACCCTACTTCTAGCCACTCTCTAGAGTTAATCTGCCAGAAGCTACCAGGCAGAGCTTACCAAATTCCTGACCCTCAGAAACTGTAATATATATATATATATATAAATTCTCTAAGTTGTAGAGTGATTTACTAAGCAATATAGTCAAAAGGCAGCTTTTTGTACCTTTATATGAAACAATCTTAAAGGTATATTACTTTTTTAAAGTACAGGTTAGTGTATACTACATGCCACTTTTATTTTAAAAATACACATGCAGTCTTGTATATGCATAGAACATTGGTTTGCTGATCCCAAGTGTACTCATGGAGAGGGTTTTTTTTTTTTTTTAAACTATTGATGCGTGAACTCACTCTATACTACCTGTTATAATATCTGGAGATGGAACCCAAACACTGGTATCTTTTAGAAATTTCCCTAAGAGAGTCTAATGTGCAGCCATAATCGAGAACTGATGGCATAGAATAAATGTGAAAGGCAACATAGGAAACAGGGGCTGTACACTGGAGAAAGGTACCCTTAGGTAAGAATGGATAGGGCCTGAGGGAGATTTTTCTTTTCACTGTAAATTCTTTTTCTTTTGTGCTGGGCAACGAACCCAGGGCCTTGTGCATGTTAAGCATGTGCTCTACTATTTAACTACATTGCCAGCCTCTTGATGTTTTGAATTTATTTACTTGAGTTTCTGTCAACTATTTTTAAGATGTGGAATTAAAAAAAATAATAATAACAGTACAACATCTACAGCAATGACAATGACTCCTGAAGAGCAAAATCAGGAATGTTCCATTAAACAGTAAAAGTCATCCTAAGGTTGGGTGAGGTCTTAGAGGAAGTGGCCTATCCCATGTGGGAAAAAAAACAGGTCTTCAGGAAGTACTGAGATGGTGGATCCTAATGGGGTCCCTGACCTAAAATGATTTCCTTATTGACCCATAATTCCCCCAGTTAATATAATACATCATTAGTTATTCTTTGGTGAAGCTGTTTGGAACAGAGTAATGGCTATAATATGTAGCCCGTAGGTTGCTGGCCACCCTATAAACCCTGAGACCAACAAGAGGGAAAATGCTTAGGCTTAGGTAGGAGGGGTGAAAACATCTAGGTACTGGCTGGCCAGGCTGGTGACCTGCTGTTATCAAAGAAAAGCAGATTATTAGCCAGCTCTCCATCAGGGGGAGTTGGTTGTCTTTTTTTTTCCCCCTTCAATATGCTGTGGAGCCATTGGAGCATCAGTGAAGGTAATATAGGCATGATAGATCAAAATCCACCTTCATGGGGCCCCTGAGGGTTTTGAGGGGGGCACCATATTAAGCAGCAGCTGAGGATGTTAAACTGAGAGAGGTTCCAATGGCTGAACTAAAGCTTCTCTAGCACCTTCCCCAGCACTGAGGCAGAGCTGGGTGTTCTTAGATTTGAACATCTGACAGTTCTCAGAAATTGCCCTTGATATTTACTACCTGCCAGTTGTATGATGTTGGTAACAACATCCCGAGTTTCAATTTCTTCATCTGTAGTGCAGAATAATATATATGGAATAAAAAGAAGAAAATGATAGCCTTTATTAGACCAGTCTTTATTGATGTCTATTATATGTAAGGTTGTGGATAGATTCTTAACACTTGAATAGTATAGTGAATGTAGGGATTAAGAAAATGTGCTTTGCAGTCAGATGTGACTGGGTTAAAGTCATCTGTCACTTATTAACCATACACATTTGGGCAACTCACCCAAAATCTCTAGTCTCATTTCTTCTCATATAAAAGGAGACTCAAGGTATAGGGTCTCCTCTAAAAAGATGGGTTGTGAGAATTAACTAAAATATGAATATGAAGATCTCTATGAGACACGTGATAAACATCCAGAAATGGGCAATTATGGAGGTTCTGCTTGTTGGGCAATCTATAGGGAGCTGCAAATAATTTACATCCCATTGCCTTATTTGATCCTCTCAAAAACTCGGTGCTAGCCCATTAACTACCCTTTGAAAGGTGAGAATACTGACGCGCATTAGACTATCTGTCCCCAGTCTAAAGGGGCAGCATAAGAATCAGAACCCAGGTATTGGTTGTTGATTACTATAGTGGTTAATTTGAATCGTCAACTTGATTGGATTAAGAGGTTCCAAGGCTTAAAAGGATTATGGGGGTGTGCCTAGGAATGATTGGTCTGTGGATAGTCAACTGAAATGGAGACCTTCCCCAAGCATGGGCAGCACCAATCAATAGGATGGCTTGTATGAAATAAAAATTGGAAGAACAAAGAAGCAGCAGCAGATTCAAGCTAAATTCTTCTTGAACGGGTTGTTGATTGCTGTTGCCCTCAGGGAGCGGATTCTCTCTCCTGGACTCTTCCAAAGAGGACTCTGACAGTGATTCTCCAAAAGGCTTAGGTCTCAGATTAGGGTAGCAACATCCATCTCTCTTGTTCTGGGGGCTTCAGCCTCTTAAGACTATGCAGCTACTGGTTCTCCCAGCTTTCCAGCCTGCAGCGGCCTTCGTGGACTACCCAGTTAACCTAATAAGTCAACTTTTTATCATTATACTTCCTTTGATTGTGTTCTTCTAGAGAACCCTGATTAATACAATTACCGATGTAGTTTGTGACCTTGGAAACTCTTAATTCGGTGGGCAACAAAACTTGGGGATCAATCATCTGTAGATAAGAAAATTTCTTAAATGATTGTGAAGAGGTTCGTGGCAAAGAAGTTAACCATAATTCATTCTCCATGAAAGCTACAAATGAACGAATGAATGCATACGCCATGTTGTCCAGACCTATGATTAAATCAAGAGGGCGTGATAGGGTGGGACGGGGTGGCTCCTTTACATAAGATTGTCAGGGATGTCCTCCGAGGAGAGGGCAAGAATTTAGAGTGAGACCCGAGACAACAGGTGGCAGCAACCAGTGTTCAGATCCCACAAGAGATGGCCAGTTCAGAGCAGTGAGGAAAGTGCAGAGGACACAGGGAGCGAGAGCTCTATAAAGGCCATGGGAAGCCACGGAAGGTTTTAAACAAGGGCTGGAATTACATTTCATACTTTTACACTTTTTGTTTTACGTTTTTAAAAAGGGCCTTCTAGTTATCTTTGGTGGAGAACAAGTTCAAATGGGGCAAGTGCCTTAACTTTCTAGCCGCCTTTTCCCATTCAGGGCTTCAATTTCCCCTTTGCGGGTGGAGCAAAAGGAGCCCTAAGAAGTCTTGGATGAAGATGAGGCAGCTCACAATCTCAGAGCTCTCTAAAGCTCCGCGCAGAGCGCTTCCGCTTATCGATCCTGACATTTCATCTTCCCTACACTCTGCGGGTCACGGCTGAGAACCGATAGGTTGCCCACTTGGCGGTTGAATCACCCGTCTCTGGGCCGGAGGAACTGCCGAAGGATTTCGGCCGCGTGGCCCCTTCTGCCAGGACAGCCAATCGAGAGGAGGAAAATAGATAGGGGGCGGAACCCTCGCCGGCCCGGGCCCAGTCATTGGCTGACAGCAGCTTCGCTCGCCTCAGAACCACGTGACCACCTAAGTCCCGGGCTTCAGCAACCGGAGTACCTTCCGCACCACCTTTGGCCGGTGCGTCTTCGCTGCGCTCCCTGGGTCTCGCTTGACTGGTCCTCTGCCTCCTCCGGGGGCCGGGCAATGGGCGGGGAAGGGGACGGGCCGTTTAAAAAGAGGCCAGCGCGGGGCCGGACAGCCTCTGCCGGCGCTGAGGTGTCAGCTCAGCCCGGCCACGGCGGAGGAGGCGCCGCGGGGCCTCATTGCGTGCTGCTGTCCGGACCCCAGAGGTGAGCAAAGGGGAGGGGTCGGGGCGGCCGCTACGCGATCTGCGGGCACCTTTTAGGTTCAGACTGGCCTTGGTCCCAAGAGTGGTGGGAGGAAGCCATGACCTAGCTTCTCCGTGAGCGTAGTGGTCGGGCGGGGAGAAGTGGGCGTGAGTCCGGGTTATTCCCTTAATCGGCGGTGGCCGGAGCAGAGCCTCAATCTCATGAGGCGGCTAGCTCCTGCGGCCCATGACTGCCCATTTTTCATCCTACACCCCTCGCACCTCGCAGACGCGGAGCTGCTGTTCCTTGCTGAGGCGATTGGCACCCTGAGACCTGGGGAGCTGCACCGAGGTGGTAGGAGCCGCCCCACCTTGGGCAGATGGGGAAACGGGCCTGAAGAGAATACTTGGTTATCTTGGGTATTAAAATCAGACACCTGGTTAGATACAAAGTTAGGACTTAAGCTTCCTTCCTTGACTTCCTTTCCTTTTTTTCTCCCTCAAAGCAATAGATTTATTTATTTTTGCTTCTGAGTCATAGAAGGGTATGGACTTGTACTTCTTTAATACTCATACACTGAAGTTGGAATTCTTTCAGTGGTTAGGTGAGGACACTGAGAAGACTTGTGGTCCAGGGCCTTAACTATAATTGCAGAGCTAGGGCTGGTACTCAGCTTGTAAATATCTGGCAGGGCCCTTTTTCTTGCACAGATTGGGGCCCACCATGAGTTAGAAGCATCCAAAACTTGCACTCCTTTCTGGTACCTATTAGTATTTTCACCCCTATATTCCCCCCCTTTTTTTTCCTGCGGAGGCTGGGGAAGAGAGTGGCTGGAGATTGCACCCAGGGCCTCTTGCCATTGCTCCATACCCACCCCTAGCTTCACATCATGGCTTTATGTGAAATCTAGAGCTAATGTGATTTATAGGATTGGGTTAAGCAGAAATTCTTGTTTTTGAAAGTTGGATCAATAGGAAATGGAGGATCAGCGCTGTTGGAAAGAAATGAGTCCGGCCTGGAGCTGTAGCTTAGTGGTAGAGCACCTGCCTTGTACGTGTGAGGCCCTGGGTTCAGTCCTCAGCACCCATAAAAATGAATAAATAAAGATATTGTGTCCACCTACAACTAGATAAATATTTAAAAAAAAGAAATGAGTCCAATTTTTTTTTTTTTTCCTGAAGGAATCTCAAAGATTGTGAGAGAGACTTATAGCTGTTGTTTATTAAATAATTGTTATATGCTTAGGTAGTTTACTTGTGTTACCTAATCCTGCAAGTTAGGTAATATTATCTCCATTTTGTAGGTCACAAATTGATGCTAAGTAGAAGGTTTCACCCAGCCCTGAACAACTTTGAACAGTGTAGCTAGGATCTAAATAGAGATTTGGTCTGACTTCTAGAATACAACTAGTGATTCTCCATATGTGGCCCTAAAGCTCATTATTATCCACAGTGCAGAGACTTAGATTCCATACTTGGATTTTTAGGGGCAGGCCTAAGAATCTGCATTTTGATCTCTATTTGAAAATCATTGTACAGTACTTCAGTGTGCTGCCTCCTAGGGGAGGATCTAGAAATGAACAAATTCAGAGTTTGGGGGATCTCCAGAGGTATTTACTAGAGGTAGACTTTGAGAATCAACACAACATGTTTAGTGAGCATAAACCCCAGGCAGATGTTTGCCAAACTATAATTTCTTGATAAAAGTTTGGTTTTGGGGGGGCTGGGGTTGTGGCTCAGTGGTTGAGTACTTGCCTATCATGTGTGGGGCACTTGATTAGATTGCCAACACTACATAAATAACCTTAATAAACAAAATAAAGGTATTGTGTCCATCTACAACTAAAAAAATATTTTAAAAAGTTTTGTTTTGGTATGTGGGGGTGGAAGGGTCAGAGTTGGTGAGTTAGTAAGAATGGGGAAAATAACTTCCTTTTTCTTCCTGAATAGCTGTTAAACTATCAACCATCAACAAGCACTTATTAGATGCCACATAACAGAGCACTCAGGATACAACTTCAAACAAAATAGAGTAAGTCACTGCCTTCATGGGAAAGAAACACAATTATTTATTTAATGGTGCTGTGGATTTTACCCTGAGCCTTTGGATGCTATGCAAGCCCCCTGCCCCTGAACTACCCCTACCTGCCCCCGCCTGAAAGACAGTTTAAAAACTGACAGGGCCATAGACTTTAAAAAAAAAAAAAAAAAAAATTAGGCAAAGGGGATGAGAGTACAAAGCAGAGATAGACCCAGATGGCAGTGGTGCCATTTTCTATTGTGTCTAAGAAGGAACTAATTGATAAGGTATCCTTTGAGAAAACAGGCAGCAAGCCATGAATATAACTGGAGAAGAGCACTTCCATTAGAGAAGAAAAAAGGTATGGAGGAGGCAAGGGCTTATTTGCTTTGTTTGACTTTTGTCTTGGATGACAGTTATTCTGGCCAAAATGTAATACTGGAGTAAATTTATGTTTTTGCTTCTAATAGGGGAAAAAAAGAAAATGTTACCAAGTATGAATGTAGTATGAAACATAAAAGTAATTTTAGTCTTGGACTTTTTTTTTTTAACCAAACCTGCTTAAGTAGTGTGTTATCTTCACTTATTAAAATTACTAATATACTCAGAAATCCTGAGTTGAGTACTTGTCTACAGACTAATAGTTTGAACTAAAACCTTTTAACAAGGAAACAAATTGGGGGAGACAGTGTTGTTTTATAGAAAAAGCTAAACTTGGAAATTGGAGGATGAGATTTGAGAATCTGATGTTACTAATAGAGCAAGTGACTAAACTTGATTTGTCTCATACTGGAAAATGGGAATTCCTGTTGTGTCCTTAAGTTTATTGAGGAGGCAAGTAGAAGATGTGTATGTAATCTTGAAAGCTGTGAATTACTGCACAAGGAACTATTTATGTGATGGTGGTTTTATATTATTTTCCTCTTGGATATTTTATTATTTTGTCTTCGATTGTGCTTAATATCAGATATAATATGTCATGATGTTTACACTACTGATAAATGCTTCATATTGATTATTTTGTATCATAGACATAAATGAACATTGGTAATTGTGATACCTGGAAAACAAGTTTTATTGTCTTCATTGTATTTACTTGATACTTAGTTGTATTGGCTACATTCAGCTGTTTCACATAGGTGTAATTCTAGCTATTTGGGGAGACTGAGACAAGAGAATCACAAGTTTGAGGTCACCTTAGGAAACTTTGCAAGACCCTGTCTCAAAATCAAATAAAAAGGGCAGGGGTATGCAGCTCAGTGGTAGAATACTTGCCTAGTATGCAGAAAGCCCTGGGTTCAATCCTCAGTAAACAAAAGTTGTTTCAAGTAAAGAAACATAAATGTTTATTTCCGTTAACGTGAATGCAAGTGTGAGGCGTTAAGTGCTGGGTTCTAAGAGACAAGGATGACTTGATGCCTGCCTATCAATGTGCTGTAATTTGAGAGACATGTTTGCTTAAGTGCTAAATCATTTTATGTAATGTGTCAAGGAAGATTAGCCTAAGAAGTTTAAGTCTCCCTGTGAGGTGGGCCTTCTAGGATTAGAAAAAGAACCAAGATAGAAAGGGGCTGAGAGTGTAGTTCAGCATGAGCATAGCATGTATGAGGGCCTATGTTCATTCCCCAGCACCACCACCACAAAAAAAAAAAAAAAGAAAGAAAAAAAGAAAAAGGCATCCCAGACTGAAGGCATAGCATGAGCAAAGGAGCAGACTGCCTAATAGTTTTATGGATTGGTGATTGGAACACTAGTGAATGGAAGAAAGCAAGAGAGGCAGTTGCAGTCTTGTTCTACTTAGGAGACTGTACTAAGGTTTTATTAGACTGTTAAGAGGCAGGGAGCCCTTGCAGATTTTTGAAGAGTATATCCAAGAGGTAGACATCTTATGTTAATGATTTCTTCTTTTGAAGAAGAGGCAGATAGCATAGGGTTACAAAATGTAGGGTCAATGAAGTGTTTAAGGCAAAGTATGTCTGCAGCTTTCAAGTTGTTCAGAAGAACAAGACTCTGTAAGGACAAAGGGTGCAAAAGAACAATTGTCAGTTAAGTAGGTGAATTGTGAGTATACAGGTGTTTCATGTCTTGTTCTTTCAACTTTTCTTAAGATTTTTAAGAAGCTTCAAAATAAGCAGTCAGAAGGCAGAATGTACCTACAGAGTGTGTCCAAATCAGAGAGGCTAGTATTAGGGCTATCATCCTGCTGCTTGTAAGTGCTGGGAGTACTGGAAAATTATTTCCAAATTATACATTACCTATTCCAAGCTATTTTAGATTTTTCCATCTAAGAAGCGATGCTTATTTTGGTAGATGACTTGTTTACCTTAGTATTGAGTTAAGATTTAACAATTTTCAATAAACTTTAGATCTCTAGATTACTTTGGAGTTGACACTAGTTTTCTTGTAATATTTGATGATTTGTACACATATAAGGAGACTGATAATCTATTAGAGGAAAAAGGTTAAGGGGTCAGGATACTTGAGTTGTAGTTCCAGCTCTGCTTTAAATGATTTCACTATTCTGAACCCCTTATTATTATCTACAGAATATGAGGATTGCATTTCATGGTCTTTTATCTTTTCATATATGGCATAAGAGTCTTAGAATTTTGTCCCTTTTGGCTTTTGCGTATGTGTGTATGGTAAAATATATGTAACATAAAATTGGCCTTTTTAATCATTTTACTATTATAATACTTTACAGATAGACCTTGTAATTCCCCATTCCAAGTCCCATTCTTTTTGCTATTATTGTCACACATTTATTTTTTATATGCATAAATAAGACATTCAAGCGTTTGGTTTAGACAGTTATCTTTTAGAGAAATTGAAGATTTTTTAAACTGAAAAAGTTAAGTATATTTTATCTTCATTTGTGCCATTTCCTGAACCTTTATTTCTTTGATGTGTTGACCTAAATTTGTCTGGTATATTCTTTTGCCTAAAGAATCTCTCTGTAACTTATGAGGGAGGATGGGTGCAGGGGCAACATAGTGCACAAACGCAAACTAACTGACCTGCTGGTAATAAATTCAGTGTTTATCTGAGAGAGTTTTTATTTCTTCTTCATCTTTTAAAAGATTTTTTTTCTGCGTGTAGACTTCACTGGTGAAGATATAACTCCATTGTCTTGTGGCCTCCATAATTTCTAAAAAGAAAGATGCTGTAATTCTTACCTTTGTCCCTGTGTAAAGAGTGTGGCTTTTTCTCTAGTTTGTTTATTTTCTCTTTATATTTTGTTTTTAGCAGCTTGAATGTGATATGTATAGGTACAGGGTTTTGTTTTAATTTTATGTGTATCCTTCCTGGCATTCTTTCAGATTCTTGGATCTGTAGTTGTGTCTCATTAATTTTGGAAAACTCTTGGCCATTATGTCTTCACACATTTCTTCTCCCATTCTCTCCTCCTTTATAGATTTTAATTATGCACATGTTAGTTAGCTTGATGTCTCACATATCTTGGATGTTCTGTTATTTTGGTATTAGGTTTCTGGTTTTGTTACTGTTTGAATACCAAACAGCAAAACAGCATTTAGCTGATTTGCATTAGTTAATTTCTGTTGACCTGAGTTCATTGATTCTTTGCCTCTATTATAGTTTTTACAGCATTTCTATTTGATTCTTTTTTTATTTGATTCTTTCTTAATTTACAATTCTCTCATAATTTTTGTTGTTGTTGCTTTTTTGTGGTACTGGGGATTGAACCCGGGGGTGCTTAACCACTGAGCCACATCTCCAATCCTTTTTATTTTTTATTTTGAGGTGGTCTCACTAAGGTGCTTAGGGCCTTGCTGAGGTGGGCTTTGAACTTGTGATTCCTCTGCCTCAGCTTCCTGAGTCACTGGAATTATAGGCATGTGCCACTGTACCCAGCCTTCTCTTATACTTTTCAAGTATTTTTTCTTTTATTCTTTTCAACAGCTCCATAGAAGGCAAAGACCCAGATTTGTTTAGTTTTGCTTTATGTTTCTTTTTGTTTTTTAGGTTTGTCAAAGACTTTTGACCCAGAAATCAACAAGAGCTGCTCCAAACTAGGAGGTAAGAAGTGCATTCAAGCTGCTCAAGAAAGCTGGAAGTGAGAAGATAATTACAGACTGTTTACACTGAGGAACGAAGAGCTACTGTGTCTATCCATCAACCTGATTATCTGCTTAGGGTCAGTAGCCATTTGCATCTATCCTTTTTTTCCTTTTCTGCTTCACAAGACCATCAAAATAACTGTTATTTTACTCTTCAACCTAAATAAAATAAAATTTTATATATCTTGTATTGGTGAATAGGCCATGGGATCTTGGAATGTGGCACTTAGGTTTATACCTCACAAAGATTTGTTTTTCTGTCAGTTATAAAACAGAAAATTGACCAATTGTAGTGGTACATACCTATGATCCCAGTGATTTGAGAGGCTTGAGGCAGAAGAATCAACAAGTTCCAGGCCAGCTTCAGCAATTAAGAGAGGCCCTCAGCAACTTAGTGAGAACCTGTCTCAAAATTAAAAAAAAATAAAAAGGGCTGGGGATGTAGCTCAATGGTAAAGTGTCCCTGGGTTTAATCCCCAGGACTGGGGGGAAAAAAGAAAATAGAAAATTTCCTGAGTCGTCCATCTGTCTTGACTCTATATATTCATAGTCACAAATTTGTTTGCTTATTTGTTCTTAAATTTATTCAAATATTCTGTGAACCTGCTATCTCAGAGTTATTATATTGTGTTTAGTGATGACTGTACTGATGAACAAGATGTCTTTTCTCCAGGAGACACTCTTACTTAACTAATACAGAGTGTGGTTACTACTATAATGCAGATGCAAAGTGTCGTGGAACACAGAAGACACAGTGATTCATTTGGGTTAGGGGAAACTGGGTAGTGCTTTGTAGCAAAGGTAGCATTTTAACTGGGTTTTCAAAAATGATTAAGGTCTTGACAAGCAGAGAGATGGATGGATATTCTAAGCTAAGCACATAGTTTATGGAAAGTCACTAATTTGTGAAGTATTTGCTAAAAAGTGTTCACTGGACTCCTTTGAGAGCATGATTCTTGTTCCTCCTCTTTTACTCCTAAGATTTTTGTTGTCCCTTCTCTTTTTTGTTATTTTTATCTCCTTTATTTTCCTGTAGTTCCTAGTAGTAGATTTATGGCACTAGTTCTATAGTTTTGGTAGGACCTAGAGATGTGGAAGTTCAAGGCAACATTTTCCTCTCTAGATAGCCTATGTTTTATTGTGTGTACTCATAGTAGTCAAGTGGGTCTCTCTTTGCATGAATATGGGCTCTGCCATAAGGCAGATAACTCCAAACTAGAACTCAGTAGAATGGACCAAAACCTTCTATAGCATATATTAGTCACGTGCCCTATCAACCCTCCCCATGCACTTGATATTTGTTAAGTTTCAACATTCTCTTATCAGCTTCTCTTCCCTATCTAAGTAAAGGAGTGCTATTTGAAGATTCAGATGCATTCTGGTCTAGTTTCTTTTTATTGCCCAAAACACTTATCTATACTCCGTCACATACTTTATCTTCTATTCTCAACAATTAGTGGGTCATTTAAAAATGAACATATACATACACAAAGAGCCATCTTTTTTATTTTTATTTTTTGTTTAGTTTTAGATGGACACAATACCTTTATTTTATTTACTTATATGTGGCGCTGAGAATTGAACCCACTGCCTCACACATGCTAGGCAAGTGCTCCACCACTTTTTCAAGGATGGGTAGAGAAGAGTGAAGATTTGAGACTAGATCCTATTTTGTGGTATGCCTGGGAAGCAGACCATTATTGTATATAGAAAGAAGACAGAGTGCCCCAGTAACTTGTCTGAAGAAAAAACTGCAGGGGTAGACAGGCAAATATGGAAAATAATCCTTAGTGCTTTATACTCTTGGGGTGTCCTGTATCAACCAATTGTTTGCTTTGACCTAGCTGTTTGTGGTCTGGTGCTTGTCTTTTTTCCTCTAAGATAAACAAGGCTTGATGAAGAAAAGAAGGCATAAGATATGTATCCCCAAAATGAAGTCCTCTTAACTTCCATGTGTGTGACAAGTAGGATTGTTAATATACCTGAATACTGAGAACTACTTTATCGGTTAACACTGATATTTTCTCTGGGGTAGGAAGCGGAACCATTTGTCTCCGGAAATGTCTTTGGAAAGTAAAGAGCAACATGACCTTTCACCCAGGGACTCAGCTGAAGGAAATGACAGTCTTCCATCCGGTGTCCTTCTGAAGCCTCAAAAGGAATCAAGTACTGACTTGAAGCAATTTGAGACCAATGATCGACGCAGTTCTTATCCTAGGATCCATATGGAGCCTCAGGAGAAATCACATACTAACATCAAGCAGTTTGTCATCAAAAAGCTACAGAAGAGTTGCCAGTGTAGCCCAACCAAAGTTAAAAATATGATTTTTGATTTCCTTCCTGTTTTGCGATGGCTCCCAAAATATGATCTAAAGAAGAACATTCTAGGAGATGTGATGTCTGGCTTGATTGTGGGCATCTTATTGGTGCCCCAGTCCATTGCTTATTCCCTTTTGGCTGGCCAAGAACCTATTTATGGACTGTATACATCTTTTTTTGCCAGCATCATTTATTTCATATTTGGTACCTCCCATCACATCTCTGTGGGCATTTTTGGTGTACTGTGCCTTATGATTGGTGAGGTAGTTGACCGAGAAGTACACAAAGCTGGCTCTGATATTGCTCCTTCTTTAGAAATTATTTTAAATAGGAGCACACTAGTAAACCAGACATTAGACAGGGTATGTGATAAAAGTTGCTATGCAATTAAAGTTGGCAGCACTGTAACCTTTATGGCTGGAGTTTATCAGGTAAGAAACAGTGGAAGAATGGGTCATTTCTGGCAAAAGTAATCACTACATGAAATCTCAGATAGTGAGCATAATATAACAAAATGCTGGGCGTGGTGGTGGACATCTGTAATCCCAGTGGCTTGGAAGGCTGAGGCAGGAGGATTTTGAGGTCAAAGTCAGCCTCGGCAAGAGCAAGGTGCTAAGCAACTCAGTGAGACCCTGTCAATACAAAATAGGGCTGGGGATGTGGCTCAGTGGCCAAGTGCCCCTGGGTTCAATTCTTAGAACCAAAAAAAAAAAAAAAATTGATAAAAAGAATGGGGATAGGGAGAAGTGTGGATTAGGAATATTTCAAATTATAGGTTCTTCTACCTTCCTTTAGAGTTGCTGCTCTGGTGAGTGGACTCTTAATAAAAACAGTTTGCTGGGTATGGTAGTGCATGCTTATAATACTAGCAACTCAGGGAGGTTGGGACAAGAGGATCATAAGTTTAAGACCAGTCTTGGCAATTTAGCAGTACCCTCAACAACTAAGCAAGATCTTGTCTCAAAAAATAAAAAGGGCTGGGAATGTAGCTCAGTGGTAAAGTACCCCTGAGTTCAGTCATCAGTGCCAAAAAAATATAAAATTTTAAAATGCAGTAGTTCTCCATGGTTATTGGGGAAGGAAGGGATAAATTGAGGGCTACTATATAGCAGCCAGGAGAAAGGATTAAAAATTAAATTATTCTTGGGTCTCCCATAGTAGCCACTAATTTGCTGTTATCATTATGCCCTGCCTGTTAGCATCCATAAGTCAGCACTGACATTAAACCTCTTCTCTAATGCAGGTGTTTGGAACCAGTGGGCAAAGGGGAAGATTGGCTCACTTAATTTGGTGTTTAAATGAGATAGGGAAAGGAAGGTGAGGTACAGATGAGTAATACTCTTTAGAGTCTGCTTTTTCTTTGATTTTAGTATGTCTCACCAAGAATTAGAAAGTTGTGATAGAATTCTGAGGAGCTGGGAAGAGGAAGAAATAAAAAGGTGTTAACTGTGAAAATACAAGATTATTATTAATATGGGTGGCAGTGTGGTATAAGTATATACATACTGAATGGAGAACAAGTTTTACAGAAGTTAGATTAAAGAGTTCTACGGTAATTTTTAAAGTGTGATTCTATTTTGATGTGATTTTTTTTAACCAGTTATAGCTCCACTTTTAAAGTAATGATTATGACTTAATGAAAAATAAGTGGTTTCTTAAATTGGAGGAATTTTTCCAATTTGAGTTTGTATGTTTTCTTGTGGACCCTTGAGAATGTCCTTTTGAAAAGAAGTATGAACCTTATTCAAGTTTAAGAAACATTGTATGGGAAGATAGATATCCAAAGTTGCTCCTTCACTTGGACTAATGAGTGACAGTGTGACCTTGGGCAAGTTCCCTCTCCTTGTAATATGAAAAGATTGATGCATGATTGCCTTCATTCAATTTCTGACCTTCTGTGATGCTCTGATGGTTTGTTTCCATGCTAGAAATGTAGTGTAATAGAAAATTGAGAAGCACTTTTCTGTTTCCATTTAACACTTATATATCATCTATTCCAGGTTGCAATGGGCTTCTTTCAAGTGGGCTTCGTTTCTGTCTACCTCTCCGATGCCTTGCTGAGTGGATTTGTCACTGGTGCCTCCTTCACTATTCTTACATCTCAGGCCAAATATCTTCTTGGGCTCAGCCTTCCTCGGAGTAGTGGCGTGGGCTCATTTATCACTACCTGGATTCATATCTTCAGAAACATCCATAAGACCAATCTCTGTGATCTCATCACCAGCCTTTTGTGCCTTTTGGTCCTTCTGCCAACCAAAGAACTCAATGAGCGCTTCAAGTCCAAACTCAAGGCACCAATTCCTACCGAACTAATTGTTGTCGTGGCGGCCACTTTAGCCTCTCATTATGGAAAACTAAATGAGAATTACAATTCTAGTATAGCTGGACATATTCCCACTGGGTTTATGCCACCCCAAGCACCAGATTGGAGCCTAATTCCTAGTGTGGCAGTAGATGCAATAGCTATTTCTATCATTGGTTTTGCTATAACTGTATCACTTTCTGAGATGTTTGCCAAGAAACATGGTTACACGGTCAGAGCAAATCAGGAAATGTATGCCATTGGCTTTTGCAATATTATCCCTTCCTTCTTCCACTGCATTACTACTAGCGCTGCTCTTGCAAAGACATTGGTTAAAGAATCAACAGGTTGCCAAACTCAGCTTTCTGCTGTGGTGACAGCCCTTGTTCTTTTGTTGGTTTTACTGATAATTGCACCTTTATTCTATTCCCTTCAGAAATGTGTCCTTGGTGTGATCACTATTGTAAATCTTCGGGGAGCCCTTTGTAAATTTAGAGATGTGCCCAAGATGTGGAGGGTTAGCAGAATGGATACAGTTATATGGTTTGTTACTATGCTATCCTCTGCATTGATAAGCACTGAAATAGGCCTGCTTGTTGGAGTTTGTTTTTCTATGTTTTGTGTCATCCTCCGCACCCAGAAGCCAAAGATTTCATTGCTTGGTTTGGTGGAAGAGACTGAAATCTTTGAATCCATATCTGCTTACAAGAACCTTCAGACTAAGCCAGGCATTAAGATTTTCCGCTTTGTAGCTCCGCTGTACTACATAAACAAAGAATGCTTCAGATCTGCTTTATACAAAAAAACTCTAAACCCAGTCTTGGTAAAGGCAGCTCAGAAGAAGGCAGCAAAGATAAAGCTCAAAGAGGAAACGGTGACTCTCAGTGGAATCCAGGATGAAGTTTCAATGCAACTTTCCCATGATCCTTTGGAGCTGCATACTATAGTGATTGACTGCAGTACAATACAATTTTTAGATACAGCAGGGATCCATACACTGAAGGAAGTTCGCAGAGATTATGAAGCCATTGGTATCCAAGTTCTGCTGGCTCAGTGCAATCCTTCTGTGAGGGATTCTTTGGCCAGAGGAGAATATTCCAAAAAGGAAGAAGAAAACCTTCTTTTCTATAGTGTGTACGAAGCAGTGGCTTTTGCAGTAGAATCTCAAAAGCAGAAAGGAATATGTGTTCTCAATGGTCTGAGTCTGTCCGGTGATTGAGAAAGTAGTTGAAAGGAAGAATGTCAAGCCAATAGGTTAAGATTTTAAGTGTGCAACATTTTCCAATAATTTCAAGTTGCACACTTGAAATTATTCTTCCTTTGAAGTTTATGGCCTTTGTATATTCTCAAATGCAGCAGAACTTATTGTTGGGCAAAGTTAAAAAGAAGAAAATGTTGTAGTTTCAAGCTTTCATACAGATATGAAGTATTTGGGGGATGCAATAAATATCTACTGAATTAAAGAGTAAAGTAGTCCCAAGACTACTACCACCTTGTTTTAGGGGCTATACATTTGGACTCTTTCTCCTCCAGGCAGAAAAGGAGTGAAGTTGGGATTTGCATTAGAAATATTTGTGCCTTTGTATGGCTCTGTAGACAGGAAGGAGAAGAAGTCAGGGAGAGTGTTGAACCTGCCCTTGAACGAGCAGCATAAGGGGCTTGTGAAGCATGAGGTCCTAACTAGACAAGCTCGTTCTTGTGCTTCTCTATTCCCAGTCTTTGTTCCCCAGATAGCAGTAGGATCTCTGGATTTCAGTAGGAGAGAACCAGTCCTATCCTTAAGGCAGGGAACTGTAGGCACAGTCTCATTAGGAGTCTGATGGCCAGCAGGTTTGTGACATACTAACATTTTACAGAATAACCTTGGTAATATATTTAATGTTTTAGTCATAGCTTTTTGTTTAAGGTCAGTAGTTCAGCAAAGAGTTTGTCAAAATTAGAAATGTTCTGCATTGGGAATTCTCTTTTCTGTGGTCTTTATCTGACCATTTATCTACCATTAAGCTCTGTTTCAGCATTAAGTTATCCTAGTGTGTTTTCCCATGGAATCTGTCCTAAGCTGGCATTTCTGAATATCAATTTCAGTCATGTCAGATAAAGCAGGAGCTGATTTTGCCTTTTCTAAAGTATTTTAATTTGCTACTGGCGACTGAATCTAAGAGTTCTTAATGACTGAGCCACATTCCCAGCTCTTTTTTTTTTTTCTCTTTTCTTTTTGGATACAGGGTCTCACTGTGTTGCTAAGGCTGGCCTGGAACTTGTGATCTTTCTGCCTCAGCCTCCTGAGTCACTGGGATTATAGGCATACACCACCATGCCTGGCCTTACAGTATTTTAAATGAGCTTTGGGCAGACCGTCAAGGACAGATGGCAAAAAAGAATGGCTGACAGTTTCCCTTAAGAATTAGTTTATTTGGCAGTAAATTTTATATCCCTCCCCCCTCATATCATTTTAGCAAGGGTCTGCTGGGGACTAGATAGTCTTTCTTAAATATAAGCTGCTGCTCTGGAAAAGAATGCACAAGAGTGGCAAGAGTGCTTCCAAAAAGACATCAATAATTAATTTGTATATGTTTTAGTGAAAACAGTGCTGGTGCTTACTGCCATAGATGTCTGTTGATGTACAGTAAATATTGATGACAGTGACAGCTTTTAACTCAAGTCACCTAAAACTATTACACAAAATAATTTAGAAGCACATTTGTAAAAACCCAAGTATGGATGTATTGTTTCTGATCATTGGCCACAAGTTGCGAGTTGAGAAATGGTTTCTTTAGAAAATCAAGAATATCTGACATTGAAAGCTTATAATTCTATATCTGGACCTTCAAAGGCAAGAAAAAAGCAGGTTCTCCAAAGTTAGGAATAGGGGATTAATTTATGTGAGATTTAAACATTTAGCCAAGTCTTTTAAAAGAAGTGCAAAATATTTTTTTTAGCCTGCTTCTATGTTCTAAATAATTTTAGATATTATAAGAATCAAGCCTTATATACAGGGCTCCTATTGAGGTGGGATGCTTTTAAACATACTATATTTGTACTTACTTGACACATACATATATATATTTTCTTTCTTTTTTTTTTTGGTATTTCTGTTTGCTCCATAAACTGCCAGTGTTGCTTGTCTATTATAGGACTCTCTCATTTGTTTACATGGAAAAATACCTTTCCATTATCTTGACAGAGCAGTTTCTGAGTACAAAGTCTAGATTTCTATCTTCTAGGTGATTAATGTTATGATTAGATGTAATGTTCTGAATTTTGACATCCTTTTAGAACTTTTGCTCCCTGATGTTTGCCCTTTCTATCCAGCCTTATGAATAATAATTGTCAAAACCCGTGTCTTGGTCAGTTGCTTTTTGTCCCTTCTTGTCCCTTCCCCAAGCCAGGTTTGAATTGAGAATATTATAGATGTCAAACACTCTGACAGAGTAATGAGTACATGTTTACAACAACTCTATAATCCAGTACCAGCATAGCCAAAGAATTTCATTTTGGTCAGAATTTGGAAAATTTCTTAGGATGAATGACATTGTTTGTGCATTGCCTAAACTTTTACCAATGTGGATATGAACAGTTTGGGATCTTTAAATAAGCAGTGAGCATTATTCTTGAATAATGTTCTGATTTGCACCTGTCCTACCAAGATAAATAAGAGTAAACAAGAGATTCTGCTTTTAGTAGGCAATTATAAGGATATTTTAAGATTTCACTGGAGTTGTTTCATTCTTTACTTGGACTTGAGGTCTATGTAAACTTAAAAATTTTTAACATCTCTTTGGAACCAAAGGCTAATTTGCCATCGTCACTACAACCAAAAACTAGTGTGTGTGTGTGTGTGTGTATTTTTTGTTTTGTTTTGTACTGGGGATTGAACCCAGGGGTTCTATCGCTGACCTACATCCCCAGCCCTTTTTATTTTAAAGACAGTTTTTACTACCATCCTGGCTGCTTTTTGATATTTTTAAAATTGCTTTGATACAAAATTATTTTGCTTATTCTAAATGTGAGAGTCTAAGTGAAGCATTTTCTTGTTACTTATTGATAAATATATAAACTCTATCTAAATGGTTATCATTTCATTGAACTATAGACTGTGCATACAATTTGGATAGTTAAAACTCTTATAACCTGATTTTTAAAATTTGTTACAACAGAAGGGTAGAGTCTGTCAATGCAGGAATAGACATATGTGCAAGGAAAACAATGCAGGGAATAATCACTGAAGAGACTGACCTATAAAGGGAGACAAGGAAGGGACCCAATTGAACAGAATCCAACTCCTGGTAAACTCCACACAATAGTGGATTAGGATTAGGTAGCACACCTCTGAGAGCAAGGTCAGAACTGGTTTCTGTTTTCAGAAGGGAAGAGTCAGATTCACCAAAGCTGAAAGAGCTGGTTTGAACTATTCTAGAGCACTGTCTTCCCTCTAAACTATGTGACTCCAGTATTCTATGTGATTCTGATATGGTAATAAGATTGACATGTCTAATTGATCTTTTTAAAGTAGAACAAAAAGAAAAGGAGGGTTTTGTTTGTTTGTTTGTTTGTACTGGGAATTGAACCTATGGATGCTTAACTACTGAGCCACATCCCCAGCCCTTTTTTTGAGAGGGTTTCTCAAAAAAGAAAAGAAAAAAAAAAAAGTTGCTTAGGGCCTCACTAAGTTGCTGAGGCTGGCTTTAAACTTGCAGTCTTCCTGCTTCAGGCTGCTGACTTGCTGGGATTACAGATATGTCCCATTATGCCTGGCAAGGTGTTTTTGATTGACAGTTGGCTTAGCTTTTAAATGATAGAGACATTGATTATAAAAATTTATTGTTAGATTTATAATATGGTAAACAGTGAACTTTAAAAATGTATGGAATTGTTGTGCATTATTAGACTTATAATATTAATGGCTACATTTTAATAAGAAAAATAATTCTGTGCAGGGGTATTCTCTTAGTAATTTGTTATTGAAGAACACACTGTCAACTGGGTGGGTGGCACATCTAGTAATCCCAGGTTAGGAGGCTTTGGCAGGAGGATCTCAAATTTAAGGCGAGCCTTGAAAACTTAGACCCTGTCTCAAAAATACAAAGGACTAGGGATATGGCTCAGTGGTAAAATACTCCAAGATTCAATCCTCCATACCAAATAAGAAAACAACCATATTGTCAGGCTTAGCCCTGATCTTAAAAGTAAGAAAAGGGATGAAGTGCATTTCTTGGGAACTTAAATTCAGTCTCCAAGTTACAGTGATAAACTCATGTTCTGTGACCCTTCTTAATGAATTGTTTTTCTCTATGTGTTGTTAGAGTTGGACTGTGGGTTCTCTTTACATTAATGTAGACATTACCTTGTATATTTGAGGACCTACCCAGGAGTCAGGGACCCTGGGCCAGGTACTGGTACTATGGTACTCAATAAATAACACACTGGGGGGCTGGGAATGTGGCTCAAGCGGTAGCGCGCTCCTGGCATATGTGCGGCCTGGGTTCGATCCTCAGCACCACATACAAACAAAGATGTTGTGTCCGCCGAAAACTAAAAAAATAAATAATAAAATTCTCTCTCAATCAATCAATCACACACTGGGACCCTTAGGGGATGTGCTTTGTAGAAGAGTGTTGAGTTGAAGCTTGACTGAGAGTTGAGCAGGAGCCAGTGATACCCCTGGTTTATTCAAAGGAAGATTCCACAGGGAAATGGTAAAAATCCAGTTGATAGGAATTAGATTTTGCTCAATTTTTCTGTTCTTTAGTGGCCCCCCCCCCTTGTTTTTTATTCTAGTGATGCCTTATTTAAAACTGGGCTTAAAAACTGAAAAAAAGGATGAAATGGGAACTAGAACACTTAAGCTTTGAACTAATTTGCCCCCCACCCCTTTTTGGTGGTGGTGGTGGGGGGAGGTGGGGAGAGAAGGTAACCAGGGATTGAACCTAGTGGCACTTAAACACTAAGCCACACATCCCTATCCCTTTTTATTTGTTTTGAGACAGGGTCTTGCTGAGTTGCTTAGGGCCTCACTAAATTGCTGAGGCTGGCTTTGAACTTGGGATCTTCCTGCTTTAGCCTCCCTAGCTGTTAAGATTACAGGTTTGTGCCACCACACCCCTCCCCCACTTTTGCAGAAAGATTTTAGATTGCCATGAATTACAATAATAAAAGGTAGATGGAATAGGACAAAATAACAAACCAGCTGGTTTGTTGTTATAGCCTATATATCTGTAGATGGACACAATACCTTTTTATTTTACTTATGTGGTGCTGAGGATCGAACCCAGGGCCTCAGACATGAGAGAGGAGTGCCGTAACGCTCAGCCCCAGCCACCCAGCCCAATTTTCAAGGTTAAAAAAAGAAAATAAGTAACTTAGAAATGGAGAATTTAGATGTAGGAGTGAGGAAGATTTATTTTTATAAATATTTTTATCCTAATAAACAATTTTTAATTTGCAACTCAGTTTTAAAGGAAACATGTTAAGTATTGTTAAGAAAGTAAACATTACACTAAACATTCTTCGGTGTGTATGTCTTTTTTTTTTTTAAACTTTGTGTAAAATAGAAGAATATTGAATTATGAAGACTGAATCACGAAGAACACCACCAAATGTCTTTTTAAAATTAGAGATGCTGTTTGTAAGTCTGTGCTAGAATGGGTTTTTAC